TTCCAGAAATCTCCCTCTTCCAAAGGGCTCTGCTTTCAGCACACTGAGCTGGCTCAGGGCAGCAAACCAACCAAAGTACGCCCTCACTTCCAGCCCTGGAGAAAAGCAGGAATAAATGCTGGAGAGTAAAAGCATCCTGGAATGGAAGCAGATTTTAATTTCTCTCTGGAGCAAGGCTGCTCAGACCCAGACCAGGGGGGAGTGGGAGAGGAAACGAGGGTGTTGAAAGCAGCATTCCCTCTGCACTCAGATTCTCACAGTTAGGTATTAACTGCAGCAAGACTGGCACCGTGTCCTTGCTCCCACTGTCACCAGTACTCTACCAGAGCTCCCTTAATTAACACACCTGCCAGCACAGCTCCTGCTGGCAGCCAGGCAGCCTCTTGCAATGCCACTTTCCCTCCACGACTGGTGGGGCTGGGGAAGGTGTGGTAAAAGAGCCAGGGTCTCCAAGAAGTGCTGGGAATGAGGGTAACCCATTGCAGGAGCCTCCCAACCTCTTTCCTGGCTGGCAGGGAGCAAATAGCTCCAGCCAGCCACCCACCAGCTCCCAGGGCTGCAGCTTTTATTCCCCATCACAGCTGGTCTGAGGAAATTGCTGCACGGTTTGTATGGATTGCTCCCCTGCAGAGCCAGACGGGGCAGTTATTGATATGTGCTTTCCCTGACAAAAACAGGCTGTTTATGGACTCCCATTTTCCTTAAATCGCTTCCTGAACCCCTTTGCCTTCACTGCAGCTTTCAGGCGGGCAGGATGTGTCACCAGCCCCTGGATCTGTGACAATTATCACCGTTCAAAAGCACTTTCTTTGCCACAATTCACCAGTTTACCGATGGTGACATTTGCCCTGCAGCTCTTGCCTGGTTCCCTGAGCTGTCCTACAAGGTGAGCACCATCACCTGCCTAAGCCAGCCTGGCTCAATAAGGCTGGGAAGGTTTTGGGGGGAAGCAGAAGGACATCCCAGCTTTGTGGGTGAGTGTTATCCTCCAAATAGCCTGACCAGGCACACTTACCTTACCAGAAGCAATTTCAGCCCATTTGATGTAATCAGTTCTGGACATTTCTCAGGACAGCAGGTCCTGTTGTGGTAGGACAAGGGGGAATGGCTTTAAACAGATGGAGGGTGGATTTAAATTAGATATAAGAAAGAAATTTCTTTACAATGAGGATGGTGAGGCACTACCACAGGTTACCCAGAGAGGTGGTAAATGCCCCATCCCTGGGAGCATTCAAGGTCAGGTGGCATGGTTGAGTTCTGAGCAATCTGATCTGGTTGATGATGTCCTTGCTCATTGCAGGGGGGTTGGACTAGATGACCTTTAAAGGTCCCTTCCAACCCAAACTACTCCCTGATTCTATTATTAACCTGCAATGCTTTTAAAAGCCTGACACTTCATACAAATAAATCACCTTAATAACCAGTGACTGCAAGACAGCCAGCCGAGAACATTTTGTTTTGGTAAACAGATTATTGATTGTATATCTGTGTCCTTGAGATGAACTTGACTCCTTGACAGCAGCAGGAGCCCAACAAAACAGGTTGTCCATAATTCCAAAATGGTGGATGGCCTTTGTCTGGAGCCAGCAGCGCATCAGCTTTAGGAAGGCAATAAAGCAGCACTGATTTAGCATTGGCAGGGATTTCCCCTCCCTAAAACGCTGCCTTTTCTTTGTCTGCACAGCTGACCCAAGCAGCACAGTGTGAACATGGGCTTCAAGAGGCAAAGTCCATCTCCATGGCACAGATTTGCCAGGAATAAACTCTTTGTCCCTGCTGCACTGTGCTGATGATGGAGCTGTTGGCACAAAAATAGGTCCAGGCAGCTCGTGCCCTTTGTAGCAGCATTTCCAAACCAGTGATTTCCAGGGCTTTATGCCGCTGTAATATTTATCATCAAGGAATGCCCAGCCAGAGAAGACAAGAAGAGTAAAACATTCTCTCCAAGCACTCCTCATCACACCAATATAAATAGATCTGTTTCCCCTGTGCACAGCCCCTGGCCCTGGTCGAGCCCAGAGATGCACAGAAGAAATATTTTCTCTGTTGATAGAACAGTTCCTACTGCAAAGCAATCCCCTACATGAATTTAGATCTGTTGGCAATTGTCCTCCCCAAAGCAAACAAGTTTTATTGGAGAACCAGGCAAGGAGTTCTGAAAGGAGGCGCCAGTAATTTGTTTGGGGCATATAAGCAAAAGCCCCAGTACCCACACCAGGCAATGAGCTTTAATTAGTCTCCATCTCATCTCTGACAGGTTATTTTAATCAAGCACATCCTAACCAAGGCACGGAGAGCATGTTCACTATGGATAATGAGGAGTAAGGCACAAGGCAAGGGTAAAAGCACAAGGAACCATCATCAGCACCACAGCCCCTGAAACACACAGCACCCAGGCACACAACCCCTGGCCATGGCAGCTAATTCCAAGATAATATAGACTGGGAAAAAAAGAACAGCTTTTAAACTATCCCAGAGACCAGAGATAAACTTCATGTTGAAAAACAGAAAGCCTCAAAGGATTGTGGATGAAAAATACTTTAAAACCCTTTTGTCCCAGGGAATAGTTACAGATCAGCAAATGTAACATCACATTCTCCTGAATTTTTCTGCCTTCTGTATGCTATTCTCTGAAAAAAGACAACAGCAATTCCTGGAAACTGCATTCCCTCTGCAGACCTACCAAAGCCTTGCTTCATTTACAACTCCTTATAAACCACACCAGCTTTCCCAAAACAGGCAAGAAGAAAGTTCCAGGGGTGTTTCATCTGAAGAAGTATCATCCATATAATTCCTATGCAATATAATTGGACAATATAATTCCTGTTTCATTTTCCTTAAGCCCAATGTCTGCTTAGATTTTGGTCAAGGAAATATCTTGAAGAGTTGTACATTAAAAAAAAAAATCCCATCTGCTGAAGTCGGTTATAGCCATGTCTTTAAGAAGTGCAATGAAATGTTTTACTCCCACCCAGCTACTGGTGCACAATAATCTTGCCAGAAGAATATAAAACATCCAAAAAGAGGAGCAAAGTCAGACACACTTCTTGGCTACTGGCTCAGATCTATGAGCTGGCCCTCCTGGTTTAATGCACTCAGCCAGGCATGGCAGTGATGGATTCCTGTTTTCCCTTGCTTTGTCTCGAAACAAAGGTCAGGCAATACTTAAAAGACTAAAAGAGAATCAAAAGACTCTTGATTTCCTTTTTCTTTTTTTTTTCTTTAGGGACATGCTGGTAAAGTGATCTTACATTGTTGCTCTATAACCTGGGGTGCATTTCCAAGAAGCTTCACGGGACTCCTGCACCTCCTGATGCACATCTGAAGGATTTCACTGGATTTCCAAAGCCGGATCAGAGACCCAGCTGGAGGAACTCAGCCAAACTCCCCCAGAGCAGCCGAAACCAGCACAGATCTGGCAAGGTACATCTGTTTATTTGTTTGTTTTGCGCGTTGTAATGTAGCTCACCCTCCTCCTGCTCCCTTTGTTAAAACCAGCCACTGTTCCCTATTGAAGCAGTTTAACCCCCTGCTTCCCATCCTTTCATCCGTCACTTAGCCAGTCCTGAGTGCTGCCTGTGTCCCTCCACATCTCCCTCATTCCTGAAGGAAACATTCACCGTATTTACTCTTTCAATAACCCTGCAGAGAGAAAACCCTTGTTTCCCCCCTTCCCCAATCCAAGCAAGTGCTAATTGGTCAGACACACAACACGCACACACAGAAGCATCGTGTTGATCTGATTGCAAATCCCCATACGTCAGCAGCCCAGAGACCCTCCTCCAGCTCGGATCAGAGGGAAGAGGCTCACCAGTGAGAGCAGAAGGTGCTGGAGGAGGCAGAGGAGCCGCTTCCCAGGTAAGGGACACTTCACTCCCCATCCCCAGTGCCGGCAGTCCAGCTCACTTTATTGCTGTGCGACAACAAAAAGCAGGAGAAGTGAGGCACTTCTCTCTGCAGAGCCTGGGACCGGTTGCCAAGCCTTTGATCTTCACGGTGGAGGGGGGTAGGGGTCGGTTTTTTGTTCATTCCCTGTGGAGGAATTCTTGGAAGTATGGGTCAGGCAATAGTGATGGATGTGGTGACTGCTACAGGTGAGATGATTCCTGCTGTGTCTCTTTCAGGGTACTTTTCTCTCTCTTCCCCGATTAATCCTGAACTTCTGAGATGTACAGCTTTGTCTATCTGTGCCAAATTTGGGGGGCTGCCAGTTGTTGGTACTGGGGATGGTTTTCAGAGTGAGTAAGTTCATAACTCACCCTTGCTTAAAGGTGTACTTTGATTGCAGGGAAATCCCCTTTAAATGTTAATTTCGGAAATACTCCCTGAACTATTTTTCCCCCTCCTTCTTTTGCTAGGGGACCCTGGGAGTGGGGAGTAGCAGTGTCAGAAACTTCTTCATTGTTTGTGAAATCGCTGTCCATGAAGAGCCTGAACTCCACACAAAGGCAGGCGCTAATTAACCACTGGAACGCTTCTGCTCCAGCACGGAAAGCAAGAGCTGTGCCAGAGAAACTGCAGCCATCCCTCCAGTCCTCCAAGGGCTGTGAACAGCCAGCCAGGCACGAAATTCCCCCTTCTGCCTCCTTGTTCCTGCCAGCCCCAAAAGAACTGTCACTTTAGACAGCTGAATGAGAGCCGCTCAACTCCCCCAGCAAAGAAAAGCCAAAGCTCACCGGAATGCTCTCAGAAAGAAGAGTTCCTTGACTTCTTTAGAAAGACATTATTCTCTTCTTTTCTTGGTTCATGGAGCCTTATGTCTTCCAAACATTTTCTTCTCCCATCACCACTTCAAAATCTAACTTCTCCAACGGGGGGGAGAGGTAAGTTAGGTGGTCCAAGAAGCCTCACAACTCACCTTTGAAAATAAGCTGCATCTAAATGAGGTAACAGCTGCTTCTCATAGGAGGGGGAAAATATCCCAACCAAACAAAAAACCTCTCACTTCTGGGCTAGTGAGGCTTTCAGTGGTATCTGGAGGTGGTCTGTGGTCAATAGGCATGAGAAACATCTTTTGGGATGATCTGAACAGCTCCTGCAGCAACGCAGGCAACAGCTGCTACCTGGAAAACAGCATGAGGTTCAACTTCACCCTCCAAGAGCAGGCAGCTGATTTCTACATTGTCCCGCCCGTGATCTACTCTGTGATCTGTGCTGTGGGGCTCACAGGCAACACTGCTGTCATCTATGTGATCCTCAAGGCCCCCAAGATGAAGACTGTGACCAACATGTTCATCCTGAACCTCGCTATCGCTGATGACTTGTTCACCCTTGTCTTGCCCATCAATATTGCAGAGCACCTCCTCCGCTACTGGCCCTTCGGAGAAATCCTCTGCAAGGTCATCTTGTCCATAGATCACTACAATATCTTCTCTCTTCTCCAGCATTTATTTCTGACAGTGATGAGCATAGACAGGTACCTGGTGGTGCTGGCTACGGTCAGGTCCAAGAGGATGCCCCACCGCACGTACCGAGCAGCCAGGATTGTCAGCCTGTGCATCTGGATCCTGGTCACCATCATAGTCCTCCCTTTCATCATCTTTGCCAATGTCTACACTGACGACCTGGAGATCAAGAGTTGTGGTCTCAATTTCCCCAAGCCTGAGAGATTTTGGTTCAAAGCCAGCAGGATCTACACCCTCATCCTTGGCTTTGCCATTCCAGTATCCACCATCTGCATCCTCTACACCATGATGCTCTACAAGCTGAGGAGCATGCACCTGAACTCCAATGCCAGAGCCCTGGACAAAGCCAAGAAGAAAGTCACCATCATGGTCTTCATAGTCCTGGCTGTGTTCCTCTTCTGTTGGACCTCTTTCAACCTGGCTACCATTGTGGCTTTGACCACTGACTTACCCCAGACCTCCATGGTCATTGGGATATCCTACTTCATCACCAGCCTAAGCTATGCCAATTCATGCTTGAATCCTTTCTTGTACGCTTTCCTGGATGACAGTTTTCGGAAAAGCTTCCGGAAGCTGCTGGAATGCAGAACTTCTTGAACAGGGGATTGGGCCTGACAGGTCCCTGCCCTTCCAGGGTTTTTCAGGAGAAACTTTGCAGACTGGAGGAGTGGCCAATGAATGCACAACGTCCTTTCTTTGGTTTATATGTAATGTGTGGTCTGTTTGTAACCCTCATCAGCAACAGGGTTTGTCCTGCCCACTTGCAACTCTTGTATTTCCCCTCTTTGCTCCCACCAACTTGCATTTCTAGACCCTGATTTTAATTTCACCCTCTGAATTACTAAGGACAGAACATTTCCTTTTCAGGGGTGTGCTTCTGCCACAGAGTGGTCTTTTATTGCCATCTGCTGTACAGCACGGACGGGCTGGAGACCAATTTCCAGAGGAGTGCAAAGCTCAGTTCTTTATCACTGAGTTATTAGGGAGGATTGTTTAATGGAGCAGAGCTAATGAGCACTTTCAATGAAACATCTGTAAAAGAGAGGATGAGTATTTAGAAGAGAAAAGAAACTATTTTCAATGTTCGTGTATGTTCCTGTGTGTTATGGCTTTCTTTTGATTTTGAAGGATTGTCCATCTTCCACCCCACCACAAATTTCCTCTTTTCTGACTTGTTAAATTTAGACCAAAAGGAAGATTTGAGTCTCAAAAATGGTGCCAAACAGCACACCATACAAATACTATAACAACTGTGAGAACTTGTGTTAGAAATCATTTTGAACTAGTTGTTCCTGTAAAGTGTCAAATACATATTTATTTAAGAGTGAGTAATGAAATAAACCTCATGGGGGAATAAAGAGACTGGTCCTTCTTTCACAAGAGAAAATTTATGCTACTTGTGCCATATCTTTGCTATATATATTGCATTTTGCCTATTATAAAATAAACACAGCAGGTTTGTAACAAAATTAAGGTGGTTTGTAAGCCATAAGTAAGACTGTAGTGAGCACTGCAGATATAAAGTTTCTTCTTTCTCAGATAAATAGTCAGAATACTTGAACAAAAGTATTGGAACAAAAGGACTTGACTGGAAGAGTCTGGAGACCAGAAACTCCATATAGAAAGCTTGGAAAACTCATTCTCACACCCTTTAGCCCTGCTAGTAGTGAAGTTTGTATCTTACTGCTGTTAGGAAGGCTGTCATAGCTGAAATATGACCCTTCAGAGGGTCTCAGCACCTCAAGGTTTGACATCCCCACCTGCTGCTGGGACTTCCCAGGCTGGGTTCCTCTCCCAGTGAGTCAGGAGCTCACCTGAGGATCCCCTGTGGGCTGTGGGACATGGCCCTGGCAGCTCCCTGTCCATACCCAGGGCAGTGTGTGGATCTTGTCCCATCCACACCACCACTGCAGCTGAGGCTGTGCCTGGAGGCAGTTTTGGGATGATAAATTTGATCTATGGCAGCTCTGAGGTCTCCAGAGGACCTCCAGGTTTGTCATTGTGGAGTGACAGGATGAGAGGAAATGGCTTCAAGTTGTGCCAGGGGAGGTTTGATTAGATATTAGAAATATTTTTTAGATTTTTTTTTTTAGTTTTTTTAGATATTTAGAGGTTTGATTAGATTATCAGAAATATTTTTTTCACCAAAATGGTGGTCAAGCCCTGGAAAAGGCTTCCCAGGGCAGTGGTGGGGTCACCGTCCCTGGAAGTGTTCAAAAAACCTCTGTGTGTGACATTTCATTTAGTTTAGTGGTGAATGTGGTGGTGTGGCTAGTGTGTGATAGTTGGACTCATTGAGCTTCTCTAAACTTAATTATTCTATGATATCAGGGATCCTCCAAAATAATCTTTCTAAAGAAACACCTGTTGAAAGGCCCCATTTCCCTCCCTCCCCCTTCTTTTGACTGGAAGCGAGGAAGAGGAGTTAATTTAAAGGCAAAGGCCAAAAATAGTGACTGTAAATATTGCCATGAGTCCTTGTTGGCATTTGTGTTTGGTAAGTGAAGATGCAGAGAGAAGGATCAAAGCTGCCTGAATGGCTTTTAATTACAAGCCTTGATTGTTCTTCTATTTTCTCTCAGAAAAATACTGCAATTATCTAACAAAGCTCTTCAAGTGGAATTAGACACTAGCCGCAAGCTTCAAGGGCTGTTCAGTGGCTATTTTCTCTTTAAAAAAGAAAGTAAATTTGATGTGTGGATAAAAACCAGGCGCTCTATTGACTGCCTACAGCCGTCAAATTTGGTGCTTCCTGAGTAAACAGAGGATGGGAAGCTTTCCCCAAGAGGAAGTCAACAGCCTGGGGTGCACCAAAGGCTGGTGTCACTGCTAAAGGCCCCCACCACAATGTTCCCTGGCTGCCTGGGGTGGGTGCTTCCCATGTGGGAAGGAGGAGTTCCCTTTGAGGGTAAAATAAGCTATAATTTGGCAGCAGGACCTTTGTCATCATTTTCAGTTTTCCTGAGATGATTTCTTGCTGTGTCTTTCACCAGGACTTCTGCATATCTCCATCACCTCCCCTTGCTCCAATGCTTCTGCACAGCTCATGCCAGAAGTGTGAGACAACTTGGGAATTTCTAAGGTCCAAACCACCCCCTGGACAAGACTCAATAAACCAGCTGGATAAGGAAGTCAGAGAAATAAGGATTCTGTTTCATAACCTTAACCCTCAAATGAGATCAGAGACTGGTAATTAACAAAGTCAGATTTCAACACAATGAAAAATCTCCCCTGAGACCCAGCCTGCTGCTGCTCAGCATTGATGGAAATCCTACAGATGTAATTAAATTTCCTTTATCCATGTGATGGGTTCAGCAGGATCCTTCATGCCATGGCCACACCCAGCTGAGCTCCTTCATCCACGCTGACCAGGAGCTGGGGTGTGAGGCTGATGGACACCATTTCATGATGGATGGGGCAGGTCAGAACCAATAGCTCACAGAATCATGGAATCAGAGACTCACAAAATCATGGAATCACAGAACCAAAGACTCACAGAATCATGGAATCATAGACTCACAGACTCACAGAATCATTGATTCACAGACTCACAGAGTCACAGACTCATGGAATCACAGAATCATGGAATCACTGAATCACAGAAGTACAGAATCACAATTCACAGACTCAGAGAATCACAGAATGGTTTGGGTTGGAAAGGACCTTAAAGATCATCCAGTTTCAACCCCCTGCCATGGGCAGGGACACCTTCCACTAACCAGGGTACTCAGAGCCCCATCCAGCCTGGTCTCCAGCTCATCCTCCACAATTCCTGGGGGATATCCCCAGGCAGCAGGGCTCAGTGGCATCGCTGACACTCACCAGATGATGAAGCAGTTTTCCAGCCTAGCACATGCAAATTAAACCTCGGTGCAGATGCCAAAGCAAAGCACAGGGAGAGCCCTGGGTGGCTTTCCATTGCCACCTCCCAGTCACCTCTGGGATGCAGGGACAAGGACAAACACCAGCAGCAGGGGCTGGGCTCATTCTCTGCCCCTTTGTGCTGGGTCCCTGGTGGCAGGTGATTATCTCCAGAAATTTTAATGCCATGAAGGTTGGATAGATGACATTTAAGGTCCCTTCCAGCACAATCCATCCTGTGATCCTATGATTTCCCCTGTGGCTAAACAAAGCAAGAGCAGTGCAAGGCTGAGATCAGAGAAACTCCAAAATATGTGAGCAAATGACCTGTGCATGTGGAGAAGTTGCTATTAATGACTAACATTGAGCAAACATTAAATAGCCAAATCGCAATATGGGGTTTGTTTCACACAGAGGAAATCAACCTGAAAAGCCATTAATCTTAATTTCATGTTGACTACAGAGCTTCTGTTTTTATTCCTCATCACTGAATGAAATCAGCATGACATGAGCTATTCTTGGAGCATTCACTGCCCATGCCCGGCTGGAAACACATAGAGAAACTGATGTTTATTGAATGGACAGAGACAGCTCAGGCTCTGCCTGGGCCCCTCTCTGTGGCCAGGAAAATGGTGATCTAATGCAGCCAAAAGCAGCCTACAGGATGATGCTGATTCTTTCAATGGTTTCCTTGGAAAAATCAAGTTTCCTGCTTGGTTTCTTGAAGGATCATTCTTCATTTCACTACACTGAAAATGTGCTGTTTGGCAGTGCTGGTGCTGCTGCAGGCTCCAGCCCTTCCTGCCTGGCTTCAGGCCCAGAGGGGAGGGAAGCAGCCATGCTCTCCCTGACCACTGCTGGCAGCAGGAGCCTCCATCAGCACTGGAGCTACATCCTCCCTCAGAAATAACACAGACTGCAGGAAAAACCCCTTTTGCTGCAAGAGTGGGCTGTTGAACAGGATATGATTTCCTCTCAAAGGCCCTTGCAGCAGTTCAGCCACAGGAAGAGCAAATTTCCAAGAATCCTGCTTATGCCAAGGGGTTGGAATTGCATGATCTTGATGTTTCTTCCAACTCAAACCATTCAAGGACTGTGAGATTCTGTGAATCCAAGCATGGGAGGTGTTGTACTGTGAGGTGAGGGTGATTCCAGCTGGGGAAGGATATTATTGTGCACTTTCTAAGCCAAGGGCAGTTCAGGGGTTGCTGAAGCACACAACTTGAGATGGGAGAAGGGGCTGTCTGTGTCCCCCAGCACTGTGGAGAGCTGGCATCACTCCTTCCCTGCAGCCAGACAGGATCTCTGCACTGAGGGAGAGAGAGCAAAGTCAGTTTGCATGGTTCAGCAGCATCATCCTTGCCAAGATACAAAACCATGTTGCTCTATTTATGGATTATTTCACTCTGTCATGCAATCTATCCAGGCTTCAGAGTGCTGAAAGCAGGAACAAAGGGAGTTTGTGAGCCATGGGCCTCTTTGATTTAACAGCACCCAATCTAATAGCAATCCCTTTTCTTGGAAAAATCCTAAAACTCCCCCTTTCAAAAGGAGCTGTGACCTTGGTACTTCTGCTGCCACATTTTGAGCAAGGGTGTCACAAATCCCCAGTCTAAACAGGCAACAGGGCAAGTACATGCAGCCACTGTGGGCCACTCAAAATAGGCAGGCAGGAGCTCAGACATGACAACAAGGGATCTAAAAAAACCCTGTGCCAAACATCCATCAGCATCACA